TCACCAAACTGGTGGCAGTTGACATGCAGGTTACTCCGAATGTAACTTCTTTCATGCTGTAATCTATTCCAATGTAAGAATTTCTTCACATTAAATGTGCAATGTGCACATTGACTGTGAATTGAATTATGGCTGAGGTAATGGTTGAGTAACATATGATTAACAACCTAAATTTGAAGAGAGTTTCTGCATTTTGACTGGAAGCAGTTCCTTAATATTCTTTCAGTGACTCTTTCATGCAAACATCAATTCCAGAACATGATCAATTTTTCAAATAGCAAAAATGAAGCAAACCCCAGAATTTATTTTCCAGTATAATGGAACTTAACCTACACAATTCCTGTCAGCTATGTGTATACTACACTGGTTTAGATAATATGAAAACCAGGTGCTATCACTGTGCTGAAGGACTATCAAAGAAAAAGACTACTCTTTTTTTGGCAATTGGATCCTTTGGTCCCAAACCAAAGATAATGGTGCCATTATCATCGGTTTGAAACCAAAGAACAAGCAGAGCTGGGTGAGCTGGGTGAGCTGGGTGAGCTGGGTATATGAGCTGGGTGAGCTGAGTGAGCTGGGTAAAAACCGGGTTTGCCAATTTTTTTTATAAAAAGAACAGCCCTAACCAACCTAAACCCTAAACCTAAACATAAACCCTAAACCCTAAACCTAACCCAAAACCTAAACCTAAACCTAAACCTAACCCTAAACCTAACCCCAAACCTAACCCCCCATTGAAGCAGGGGCCATTGGATTTCCAACAACTATGCCAGGTCCCCAATGGCCCCACAATACCCAGGCAGATGAACAACTACACTCAAACCTGTCCAGGTACTGTGCCTCTCCTGGGTTAACCCTAACCCTAACCCCCTCACCCCTTAACGCGGTGAACCTAACCCTAAACCCAAAAACCTGCCCCCTAACCCCCATCAGGGGATGGGGCCAGTGGGAATCAAACCCACAACCTGCTGGATGGTCAGATGTTAGGGCCAGTGCAAACCGCTGAGCTACAGAGACTTTGTCTCTGCCAGTGTTTTTGGAAATCTAGTCAGCTGGGGGACCCAGCTCCAGGCAGCTCACCCAGCTCTGGCAGCTCTTCGGTTCCAAACCAAAGATAATGGCACCATTTTCTTCATTTTGGGACCAAAGAATTTGAGTGACACAGGTGTAGGCATGTAGTGTAGCTTAATTTGGTATAAGTTAAGCTAAATGTTAGCGTCAAATCAGTTACACTATCTGAGAGTCTAAATTTTGTTAGTGCAAAAAAAGTTATACTACCTGTTAGTTTAGCTGAGATTATTTGAAGCTAACACTAACAAAAAATTTGAGAGAAAAATTTACACTGGTTACACTACAGATATTTCAGGAAAAAGGCCACTACACTAACAGTTAGTGGTAAAATAGTGTAGTGTAGTGTAGCGGCCCACTGTTGCTATTAATAGTCTGACTCTGAGGTTGAAGATTTGGGAATACAAACTCATCATGTCTTCCCCTCTTTGACTCTTTCAATGTTTCATGAAAAATATCATCACATCATCCCTGAGATGATTTCCCAGATGGGAAATCTTGTAAAATTTAGGGAAATCCTGTAAAAAATTAAAGATTTTTCCAGATTTTTTAGATTTTCCTAAATTTTTTGATTTTTCCAGATATTTTAGATTCTTTCAGATTTTTTACATTTTTCTAGATTTTTTAGATTTTTCTCAATTTTTTAGATTTTTCCAGATTTGTTTATTAAGAGACATCTATAATAAAGTTGAAAAAACCTGAAAAACTGGAAAAATTAGAAAATCTTAAAAAATCAGAAAAATCTAAAAAGTCTGAAAAAATCCCAAAAGTCTGTAAACATCTAAAAAAATTAGAAAAATCTAGAAAATCTAGAAAAATCTAAAAAATCTGAAAATATCTAAAACATCTGGAAAATCTAAAAAATCTAGAAAAATCTGGAAAAACCTTTAATTTTTTTACAGGATTTCCCATCTGGGAAATCATGTCAGGGATGATGTGTGCATGTTTGAATGCACTGCTTGCCTCAAGAACCAAACCAACCGGTGTGTATTTATGTTGTCTGCCCCCTGCCCCGGGAACATCAGCTTCATGCAAAATGAATTTTGTTCTCACAAAGAACCTGGATATCTTTTTCTGAAAATCTCTTATGGTGGTTATAAATGTATGAAATTGAAAACAGCAAGTCAGGACTTTTATAAGCTGATACTTCAGTTCTGAACTTCAATCAATTACAATAGGGGGGTTCACGATAGCTTTTCACCAGAAAAGTTTTATCGTCCCACCATGACGGTTGCGCATGCTGCGCAGGTTAAAATTTTAGAGAATTTTTAACACACCAGGATTGATGCACCAGGAAAATTTAGCATTGGAAACGCACTGGTGAACACATCCGATCAGTTGATAAAAATTCCTCCTGCCTAGCTGGTCCGTCCCATCCAACCCGCCGCTCCTCCAACATAACCTGTTCCACCCACGCCGAGAAGACCAGGTTCCACTCCAGCGACTCACCGGTTGCAACCTGCCCCATGCCATGCACAAAAAGAGTGAACGGCAACAGATAATCCGAGATCTCTTCATGATGCTGGTATTCCTCCACCAGCAGGAGACAGATGACCTCATCGACTCAACCTTGAAAATTCCAACCTTGCCTTCACTTGGTAAAATATTGGCCCCTGGCGATCCCGGTCGTGCTTTAGTGCTAGACGTTTTAATCGGCGAACAGGCCATGATCTCCGATCTCTTGGAATTGGTACTGTGTAATCGATACCTGAATAACCGATTGCCGGCCCGAACTCGTGATGAAGGGGAATTCATACATGCACAAGAGGCAACACAGGGAAAAATACTTACCTGACAGATGGACATTTGTTGATCAATTCCGGAAGGGCCGGTTGTGAGTGTGTATATATGTATCGCAAGCGGACGTTTGAGACGTTGCCAAATGGTGATGTGGAATAGAGGCCGCAAGGGGCTAGGTGTGTTGAACAGGGGATGTATGGGGGGTTGAATTTTATCTGTGGGTGTTTGATGTTGACCAGCAAGCTTTATCGAACCTGGCCGTTGTTAGTGGCGGTGTTTTTAGTGTAAAATTTAACCAAAATTTTATACCAGCAAGAATTTTTTTTAGGGGGGACCAGAAGCCATAAAAGCTATCGTGAACCCCCCTAATAAAAGGGGGTATCAAATATAACCAAATCCACCATCATTTAATTGACTGGTTTTGAAAATTCTACCCTTTTTTAAACATGTTGGTTATTAATTTAACCCCTTTTGGGGCCCATTGATGCAAAAAAGTTTTTGGAAAAGTGACTGGTTTCTCATGGCGGATTTCCAATACTTGATACCCCCTAATACCACATTTGGTGATTTTGTGCTTGGCATGTGTTGAAAGCCTCTTACATAATGCCTGGTTTGTCAAGTTGGCTAATTCAAAGATGGATTTCATATTTATTCAGAAGGGGATGGGCTAAGAAAAATGATTGGAAGCAAAAGTGAAACGGATCCAATCCGATACGGTATTGACCAATTTATCAGATTGGATTGATTTTTCAACACCAGGTATTGAAAAACAAGAGATTAGATCACCCTAGCAATCCAATCCTGTCAACTGTGGTATTGGATTGGGATTGGGATTGCATTGCAATCCCAATCCAACACCCAAAAGCTGTGGGCCACATGCCTCACGCTTTGGTATCATCCAAATTGTAACCAATCTGATCCCCAATAATAAACAATCCGGGGATTGGATTGGTTTCATTTAGAGATGGTCGGTCCGCATCCGGATATCCGTTCGGATGCGGATATCCAATGGCGATTTCGACGAAAATGGACATCCGCACCCGCACCCGCTAGCGGGTATCCGTCGGCCGCAGCGGGTATCCGAGGATACCCGCCCTCTAAAGAGGGCCGGCGGCGGACGGGCTGGAAGGATTTCCTTCCAGCCGGTAACCTTTACTACAATCTTCCCCGATAATTTGTCCAGTCCTCTATCAGCTTTCCTTTCATGTCAGCCTTCCAAATTCCTAGACTGCGATCAAGTAAATAGAATTCCATGTTGAATAACACATACAGTTCAAAAGTTCAAGTATGTCGAGTTTTTCCTTTTGAATCTTAAACCATGGCAGAAGGCCATCCGACTTGAGCAATTCTCTGTGGCTTTGGTGATGTGAGTGCAAGGCAGCTGTGTTGATTTATGCAGGGACATGCAGAATTCATGTGGAGCCTCAAAAGCCATATTTCCGTGCGGAAATCTATAATGGTTGAGTCCGACTCAAAAACAAAGAAGTAATACATTTCTTTTGAATCAAAAAGCAGTCATTAATTGTTATCTTCAAAAAGCATTCCATTGAGCCATCAACTTCGGATCCTTTCAAATTGTACAATGAGCGTCCAAGCTGCTGAGAGGTCAATCAATAAACATCGTATCCTTATTTCTCGGGAGACGCCCCAAGTGAACAGCTTGAGAGGAGTTTATGCCGACTGAGTTTGAGCCCAGTGAGTCAACATCTTGATTGGTGAATAGGACACTCTCATTTTTTTCCGTATTAAAGGCAAAAATAATAACACTTGACAAACTCATAAAGATGAAACACAAAAAAGAACAAGTTAACAATCATGACAATTAGACAGAAGAAGAACCGGAAGATTTTTCATCAGATTGTGCTGTAGATGATGATGGAAATTAGACTCAAAAGTTGGAGATTTTGAATTTCTTTCAATGATCGTCAAAGATCTGCGGTGTTTTTTGCTTCTCAGATGGGCCTCCCAATTCACCTCTTCGATCAAGAACGGTTTATTTTTTTCAGCCGTACAAGTCTTGCATACTTTCAATTGTAATTCCTTCAACGATCTCGGTTTCTTCATTTTTGATTTATTTAGATAAACAACACAGGTTTGGGATTATTCATCAGCATGCGATCTCTACCCATGTGAATTTTTTTGGATGTGGGTTAAAGTTTTAGTTTTGTTTTTGGATCTTGGCTCTTTTAAACTTACTTGACTTGCAATTCAGAGAGTATGGAATCTGCGATTGAGGATATTGATTTGGGTGATGGTAAGTGGTCATAGTTCAAAAATGCTACAATTATCCATGCAATCATTGATATCAAATATTAATAAATACGTCAAGTGACAAATAAAAATTGATTAGGAGAGATTTACTAACCAGATAAGATATTTTGAGCGGGGATCAGGACGTTCTGGTCCCACTCATCCACCCTACTAGCATCCAAAATGTAAGTCATCATGTGTGACTTGGCGTTGTTCGGAGGATCTAGAGTTTCGGAAGAAGGTCCAAACTTGTTCAGTTCGGGTAAGAACTTATTTTTCATCCATTTGACTTGTGATTTAGTGTATTGTCGGGTTGCAATCTTCGTCAATTCTGTCGCTTCCGCAAGCTTTTTTGATTGTAATGGTTCTGGCTCTGAGTCAGCATCTGTGGTGCTTAATAGTGACTCAAATTCCCGATATCCTGCATGGTCATGATCATTTGGTTAGATATTTTATGTATTTAGTGTGTATATTGGCAGATGAACATTGAGAATAGGGAAATGTGTCGCCCGCTAACCGATGGCTTGGAATGGGCATCGAGAAAAATTGGTCCGAGTTTGGTTGCCTTCAGTCAATCTCGATCGCATTATTTTCAAGTCTCTGACCTCGTTCATGAGACCATTCTGCAAATGGAGTAGAGATGGTCGTGTTGCATCCGGATATCCGCGCGGATGCGGATATCCGGTTGCTTTTTCCGGGGAAAGCGGCATCCCCAGGCGGATATCCCCCCGCCTTAGCGGGTATCGGACCGGATATCCTGGGATACCCGCCCTCTAAATGGCGAGGGACACGTACCTCGCCGGGTGGAAGGTTTCCCTTCCAGTTGTCGAGGTACATGCCTTGCCGGCTGGAAGGCAACCCTTCCAGTCGACGAGGTACATGCCTCGCCAACTGGAAGGACCTTGCCGGCTGGAAGGAAACCCTTCCAGCCGGCCATTGGTCTCGGGTATCTCAGGGGATACCCGGATATCCGCCGGTATTTGGGGGGGGAAAGGACATCCGCACCCAAATCCGCATCCCCTGGCGGGTATCCGCTGGCCCTGGCGGATATCCGCCAGCGGATAGCGGATATCTGCAACGGAGGGGGTTGATAAGCGCACGCCAAACCGCACGCCAGGTGCGGATTGGCGTGCGCGCCTGCACGCCAACCAAAATTGGCGTGCGGGGCCGCACGCCAATGACCTGCAGGGATATACCCTCACAGCGTTGGCGTGCAGGCCTGCACGCCAAAGGTGTTTGGC